CAAAAAAATAAGTGAAAGAACAAGAAAACAGAAAAAAAAAATACAACGCTGGCAGCTAGATGAGATTAGGTTAATTCTCGTCTAGATGGGAGAGCTAGACCACAGCTAGCCTTTCCGAAAGTCAACAATAAACTTCGTGGACAGTAAAAAGATGAAAGTGGATACTCTTATTCTTCAGAGTGGAAATTCAGAAGGCTAAATTCTTTAAAGCCCAACTAAGATCCAGAGAGAAAGTGGATTGTGGGGTCAGGTGACTCATCTGGTCTGCCCCTAGTATGAAGGGAACCTGATCTGCAAGTCTTCTCCCCATGTCTTCCATGGAAATCTCAAGATGGCAGCTCACTTTGTTTGATATTTCCTACCAAAACCTTCGACGTGAGGAGAACGGCAGCCAACCTACCACGCATGGCACTTCATTTTGTCGTGCCCCTTAACTTGTGCACGGCGCAGAATTGATCTTTTGGATTTTTGCTTTTTTTTTTTCTTCTTCTTCTTGCATGTCGTATCGGTGAATACTGCCATTTCTTTCTTGAGGGTTCTCCACCTTAATTTACTACTCAAAGCATTAAGGAGATTACTCGTCATGACATGGCAAGGGTTATCCATAGAGTTCTGATAATGATAGCCAAACTTTTGGTCAGCAGGTAATATTGCTCTGACCTGTTAACTATCTATCACTGTCATGAGACGTGCCCCCATAATCAACGTAGTCAATTTGGAAAAAAGTTTTTTCGTGGTGAAGAAATTTAGAGTTCAATTTTCCTTCCTTTTTAAATCGAAGAACCTAGTCAGTCTTTTTAATCACTCCAAAGTTAGGTGCCTAAATTTATGCATATTCGAGTGCGCTTCAGCTAGAAATGGTACCCACACTTTGTGAAGTTATGTACTTTTCCCGGTTCATAACATAAGAAATTGTACAGTTTGTGTTTGTCAAACTTGTTTAGATTTGGCCATCATCAGTATAAAATGGATCTAATCCGGACAAGTTCATATTACTAGGTTTGTCAGGAAATATGTATTCACAATCAATTTTTTGCTTGAACACAATTCACTCCATTTCAAAATAGTTTTTCTTTCTGGCTTTGCACAGTCTCTAATATGCAACTCTGGCTAATAATTTTGTATAAATCTAGGCATGCAAGTGGGTAACCTAAAGGGTACCCTCTAATCGTAACTAGATCAATCAAATGAACTATAAATCCCAAAGAGGGTACCCTAACATCCATCAATTTGCTCCCCTAGATAAAATACATTGTAAAACAATATGATGAAAATTCCGGTGCTATCTGTGCGAGACAGATATTCCGAGCTCGGGTTCTATTGATCCTAGTGTTTCAAAAATAACTGAAAATTTCATATCTAAAATCCTGAAGACGGCAAAGACGATGGCTCTTGGCACATCTTCCTTTTGCCATCAACCTGGGCATAGAATTAGGATACCAGCTAACAACCTTTTAGATTTTTTTTAGACACAACAACCTTTTAGATATGTCCGTCGCTCGTAAACAGCAGAGCACTAATGGGCCACATATACGGCTCGTCGGTGGGTATGTAACAGCCCGTCAATGGTACACCATCACTACTCATGGGCCTACTTTCTTGCTCCGTTGGCTTTTTCGTCAAAAAAAAAAAACAGTTGTTTGTTGTAGTCACTGCAGATAAGACATGTAATAAAATCATACTAATTTATTATAAATTACTTACTAATGAAGTAATTGTGTTTTTTTGCGAATCAGGTAATTGTTGCTCACAGCCTTCTTTTAACAAATCAAAATATGTCTTGTAGAAATATTTGTCACTAGCTAGTCTTCACAATTAAGGTTTTGTTCCTTTTATGTTTCTTGCATTTACATATACCACATTGCTGCTATTCAAATGTCATGATTCTTCTTTGTTCGACCTTCTGGCATACAGACACAGATACAGCAGGTACAGGTGCAGATAAAAATGTTGGAATGAAGTTTGTCACAGGTAATGATAACTTCATAACCCCGCCAAAAAAATTGATACCTTCATGCATGCAGTAATCTTGCTTGCTCACTCAGCACATATATGCCTTCAGGAATCACAAGTGCTGTTCTGTTTGTCATCATACTGGGGCTCGTGTGCCATCTTGTACAACTCAACCGAGCCAAGAACAAGAAACGATCTGCGTCGATGGACGGCCTCATCCGTGAAGGATCGCCGTTGGCATCGCTCCGGAAGGAGCTCAACCTCGCCGGCTCGCCGTGCACACACATCTTCACCTACGAGGAGCTCGACGCGGCCACCGACGGCTTTGGCAACGCCAACGAGCTCGGCGCCGGCGGCTTCGGCACAGTCTACAAGGGTACAGCAAAGCCACACGCACGCATAGCCATTGCTGGATCCTTCAGAACTTCAGACTTCACAGTGGTATAACTATAATGACGACGATGTGCTTGTGCAGGGGTTCTCCGGGACGGGAGCGTGGTGGCCGTGAAGCGGCTGTACAAGAACAGCTACAAGGGCGTGGAGCAGTTCGCCAACGAGGTGGACATCCTCTCGCGTCTGCGCCACCCCAACCTCGTCGCGCTCTATGGCTGCACCTCCTCCTCGCCGACCTGCCGCGACCTCCTCCTCGTCTACGAGTTCGTCCCCAACGGCACGCTCGCCGATCACCTCCACCACGGCAAGGACGGCGGCGGCGATCCTCTCCTCCTCCCGTGGCCGACCCGCCTCGGCATCGCCGTCGAGACGGCCGCCGCGCTGGCCTACCTCCACGTGCACCAGGTCGTGCACCGGGACGTCAAGACGACCAACATCCTCCTCGACGACGGGTTCCACGTCAAGGTGGCCGACTTCGGGCTGTCCCGGCTGTTCCCGGCGGACGGTGCCACGCAGCACGTGTCCACCGCGCCGCAGGTCACGCCCGGGTACGTCGACCCGGCGTACCACCATCGGTACCAGCTCACGGACAAGAGCGACGTATACAGCTTCGGAGTGGTCCTCGTCGAGCTCGTGTCCTCCAGGCCGGCGGTGGACATGGCCCGGGCCGGCACCGACGTGAACCTGGGCTGCATGGCCGTGCGCATGATACAGTGCTGCGAGATCGACCGGCTGGTCGACCCGCGGCTAGGGTACGGGTCGTCGGCGAGCGAGACGAAGGGGACGATCGACCTGGTGGCTGAGGTGGCGTTCCGGTGCCTGCAGCCGGAACAGGACGTGCGGCCGTCCATCGGCGAGGTGCTGGACGTGCTCAGGCAGGCGCACCAGAGGATCACGGAGAAGGGAGCCTCGGCCACCACAGATGGTGCGGTGTTGCTGAAGAAGAGCAGGGACGGGTCGCCTGACTCCGTCATGCACCAGTGGATCAGCCCCTCGTCCACCTCCAACAGCACCTGAGCATGCATCACAACACTTCTGTAAAACATTTATTCAGCACCTTCAGAGAATGTTCCTGCGAATCCGATCCAAAACTAATAATGCTAAACATACAAAGAGTTACACACAATTACACACTGATTAGGATTCTTTCTTTCTAACTAATTAACCACTCCTCTTGATTTTCATGGGAGTGAGCCACTCATCCCCCTTAACCTTCAATCACAACCCATCCGTTTGTAAAATCCATGTAAACCTTCAATCACAACCCACCTCCAATCACGACTGAAACGACAACATCTGTTAAAAATCTTTTTTATTGACACAGTACAGACACAAGCGCTCATACATACGCATATACACTCACCCCTATAAATGCACACACGTACACCCTATCTTATACCTGGCCATGGGCAGTCCGGCCCGGTCGGCCCGACCCGACCCGGCCCGAAAAAGCCCGACCCGGCCCGGCCCGACCTTGTCCATGGGCCGGGCTCGGGCCTAGGTTTTAAGCCCAAAGCCCGGGTCAGGCCGGGCCCAGGCCCGTCGATTTCGCCATTTAAGGAAGAGGCCCGGCCCGTGGCCCGAGGCCCGACGGGCTTTTAATATGATGGCCCGGGCTCGGGCCCGATTTTTAGGCCCGACGGCCGGGCCGGGCCGGGCTCGGGCCTGGGTTTTTTGCGTCGGGCTTTGGTTGGCCCGGCCCGGCCCGAGGAATGGCCAGGTATACCCTATCTCTATGAGCACCTTCGAGAGAAGGAGCCGGCATATTATTTTGAGATTTACGAAGTCACGATAGGCATCTCGTCATTGACGGAAACATCTCCTCCACTAAAAGCACATCGCCGGAAATCCTGAAACAAATCCAGAAATAATGCAAGCATCAGGACTTGAACCCTAGTGGGCTGGAGATACCATCCAACCATAAGTTGTTTCGCCATCTGTTAAAAATCTTTCAATTGCTGAAGTCTATAGGGCTAGATAATTTACATTTTCTATAACCCTTTTGGGGATACTGCATCAGTGGATCAGCCCCTCGACCACTTCCAATAGCAGCTGAGCATCACAACACTTCTCTAACACATCTAGCAATATTGCTAGACCTACTTAGATTCTACAAACGTTTTACTTAACTTTTCAAACTAATTCTCCTCATTGATTCAACTGGGGTGTGCCTCTTCATCCCCTATTACCAATCATAAGGCCAACTTCAACGCACGATCTCAAACGGACGTCCGTTTCGTCCGCTTTTCGTTCGCTTGGGGGTGGCAATGGGGTTGTGTCTGCCCGGATTTCTGGATGCGACGGTCGTGTGCCCAATGCGCGACCGCATTTCGGCCGCATACATTTTCTTGCAACACATATCTTTTCATCAGTGATTATTGATACATTGAGGACATCACCAAATCTTGACTAGAATAGTAAGAAAAAAGAAAACAAGAACCACGAGAAGATATTTTAGAAGATATCCAACTTCCATAACTTCTCCCGATAGTTGGAATTGTGCCTTCTCGATGCATTCGTTGTTGATCTACGGAGTCTCGATCTTGCGTGCTTCTTTCTTCTTCGAGTCTAAAGAAGTAGACGTTGCTTCTTCACATCTAGTCTCATCTCTACCCTCTATTCTAGCAACAAGTGCACGAACATCTATTAAATTGCGGTCTATCAATAGATCGATGTATTTTTCTTCCCAATACCAAAAGTTGCATCCATCCTACACAATACATATAGAAGTGTAAACAACACGAGCCGAATCCAAAAGCACAACTGAAGCTAAACTACATACCCCATCGTTTGCGCACTTGACAAACAACCATCCGAGATGTTCCGGTGTTGTAGACACACGGTGCAAGACCTTCCATGGGTAATCGTCGCATTTTATGAGCGGCAATGGTGCACCGATGAGCCTTTGGGCTTTCCCCTAGAGTCTTGGGCAGCTGACGTGCAAGAATAAGGCCGCCACCGTCGAGCTGCTCGGGCTTTTCCCTAGAGTCATCGCCGGCGGCAGCGGAGAGAAGAATGGTGACAGGAGGGGCGGGGGATGGAGGCGGGGACGCCTCGGTGGGGCGCATCATCGCCGCACGAGAGGGCGGAGGGGTTAGGTATTTGTTATTCAGTTTGTGATCCTTGCTGAGAAGATGGAAATTATTGTTGATGTTATTATGTAAACTAGCAAGGTGGCCCTGGCAAATACAAGGGCATCGTCTTTAATTATTCGAATATATCTAATATTATATCAGAGAAATAATTTATTGTGTCATGGTTATTCATATTATATGATCTCAGTAGTAGGAAACGGGCCATCGCTCCCGGTTGCTAAGGGCCTTTAGTCCCGGTTCTGCAACCGGGACTAAGCAATCGGGACTAAAGGCCCTCACTTTTAGTCCCGGTTGTGTTACAAACCGGGACTAAAGGATGTCCACATGGCTGTTGTGGGGCGCCCAGGCAGCAGGACGTTTAGTCCCGGTTGGTAACACCGATAGGGACTAAAAGGCAGCCACGCGTCAGTAGCTACAAGCGCTGTTTTTTTTAAATGAGGGGTTTAGGGGTTTCATATTGTGTTTCCCCCTTTTCTTTTTGTGTTTACCGTTCAATTCTTTTACACGTAGGGTTTTCATTTTATTTTATGTTTTCCATTCAACTAGACGCCAGCTAGTACATATAGCAATGAAGGAACCATTACACGACATCACCATGAATATAGAGAGAAGTGACCTCTCTTTCTCCGTGCTTGGTCGAACAACAAGTTTTCTAAAAGCACAAGTGCTACCTGGGTGATTTTGGTAAATAATGTCAACATATCTCTTGTTGGACTAATGTTTTTATCTAGTGTATTTCAGACAAGTTCAACAATGGCTTGATTGCACAAAAGGACGTGGAACTCCTTCAAAATGCTAAGGACACATATTGGCAAAAGCTCAAGACTCTTCATCTTTGTTTTAATGATCCAAGATCACACTGGGTCCATATGTAAGACAATACTATTAAAAGGGGACGAGGTGTTGTTTAATGACTTGCTTGCTCAAATGCTTATTGATACTGCTCCAAACCCCCAACTACTTTCTCCATCCAAATATGTCAACACCCTAAACTCCAACTCGGCCCCACCGATTCTTTCTATCCGGCGCTGATACGTCCATTTTGCATCATGTTTTTATATCGATATTTATTGCATTATGGGCTGTTATTACACATTATGTCATAATACTCATGCCTATTCTCTGTTATTTTACAAGGTTTACATGACGAGGAAGAATGCCGGCAGCTGGAATTCTGGGCTGGAAAAGGAGCAAATATTAGAGACCTATTCCGCACAACTCTAAATGTCCTGAAACTCCACGAAAGTCAGTTTTGGAATATATATATATAAAATATTGGGCAAGAAAGCACCAGAGGGGGGCCACCCACCATCCACGAGGGTGGGGGTGTGCCCTACCCCCTGGGCGCCCCCCTGCCTCGTGGGCCCCCTGACAGGCCTCCGGTGCCCATCTTTGGCTATATGAAGTATTTCGCCCTGGAAAAGATCATAAGCAAGCTCTTGGGATGAAACTCCGCCGCCACGAGGCGGAACCTTGGCGGAACCAATCTAGGACTCCGACGGAGCTGTTCTGCCGGGGAAACATCCCTCCGGGAAGGGGAAATCATCATCATCGTCATCACCATCGATTCTCTCATCGGGAGGGGGTCAATCTCCATCAACATCTTCACCAGCACTATCTCATCTCAAACCCTAGTTCATCTCTTGTATCCTATTTTTGTCCCAAAACCTCAGATTGGTACATGTGGGTTGCTAGTAGTGTTGATTACTCCTTGTAGTTGATGCTAGTTGGTTTACATGGTGGAAGATCATATGTTCAGATCCTTTATGCATATTAATACCCCTCTGATTATGAACATGAATATGATTTGTGAGTAGTTACGTCTGTACCGGAGGACATGGGAGAAGTCTTGCTATGCGTAGTCATGTGAATTTGGTATTCATTCGATATTTTGATGAGATGTATGTTGTCTTTCCTCTAGTGGTGTCATGTGAACGTCGACTACATGACACTTCACCATTGTTTGGGCCTAGGGGAAGGCATTGGGAAGTAATAAGTAGATGATGGGTTGCTAGAGTGACAGAAGCTTAAACCCTAGGTTATGTGTTGCTTCGTAAGGGGCTGATTTGGATCCATATGTTTCATGCTATGATTAGGTTTACCTTAATACTTCTTTTGTAGTTGCGGATGCTTGCATGATGGGTTAATCATAAGTGGGATGCTTGTCCAAGGAAGGGCAGTACCCAAGCACCGGTCCACCCACATATCAAATTATCAAAGTACCGAACGCGAATCATATGAGCGTGATTGAAAGGGCATTTCCCTACTTTATGTTTTGGATGATGATGACAACCCTTTGTTGGTCTAATCTTGTGCTAAATGTTTCAGGTTCTTGACGCTTAGGCCCACATCGGAAAGCTATTCTCTCTTGACGCTAGCTTCGCTCTTTTCCTTTTTGGTGTCTTGATGCCAAAGGGGGAGAAGGTTCTATAGGTCTCGGGATTTGCATGGGTTGGGTTTCTCGTTTCCTCGTGTTTCTCTTTAGTGTTGAACTTTGTTCGTGGTTTCTTGCTGTGTGTGAGACTTATGCTACTCCTTTTATTGCTATCAGTCCGTCGGTTATTATTATTGTCATTATTTCTATCTATCCGTTATGTTGTCTCTCATATTATGTGCTTAGAGTGGTGAGTCTATAAAATCTAGGGGGAGTCTAGCCCTGAAAGTGTGCCCATGCTTTCTAACAGCGTGTTCTTATTGGGGCACACATCTAGGGGGAGTTCTGTCTAGATTTCATAGACTTCTCTCTTGCAAATCATGTTGTTGTCATCATCCACCAAAAAGGGGGAGATTGAAAGGGCATTTCCCTACTTTATGTTTTGGATGATGATGACAACCCTTTGTTGGTCTAATCCTGTGCTAAATGTTTCAGGTTCTTGAAGCTTAGGCCCACATCGGAAAGCTATTCTCTCTTGTAGGAGAAGA